GGAGGGGGAATTCACACACAAAGAGCAGAAGAAAGGAAAGAAAAGAGCAGCAGTTTGTGTTTGGGTTCGAAAAAAGATTCATGGAGAGAAACTGTAGCCAGAGAGGAGGATCAGAGCAGAGGAGATGCCAGAACAATGACAACACAGTCACCAATTCTTGTCATGTGTGTGTGTGTATGTCTGATCTCAGAATTGTGTGTACTGAAACTCTAATTTCCCTCTGGGATTAATAAAGTATTATTGAATTGAATTGTACACAGTGCTTCAGCACCCACAGGCCGAGCACGCATTATTACAATAAAAAAGCACACACACACACACACACACACACACACACACACACACACCAAGTACTACCTGCCATTTCAGACGCAGTGCACACTCTAATGATGGGTAGGAGGCAAGAAAAGAAAAGGGAGGCTCCTTTCATGCTGCAGACAAGCACCAGCAAGGTAATTTTCTGCAGTGCTGTTGTGCCACACACACACACACACACACACACACACACACACACACACACACACACACACACACACACACACACACACACACACCAAATTACCCAATCACGCTCTGTGTGAACAATACAATCAAGCCGGGCGGCGAAGCGAACACGGTCAATACCAGGCCACTGAATGAAGCAGCCTGTTTTTAGCCTCTCATCTCTTTTTACAGCAGGCCTGATCTAAACTTCAGCGCTCCGTCTGCTTAGCTTCCACTCTTCCTGCTCCTCCGGCTACATTTTTCATAGCCGAATACTAAAAAGTGGCTGCAGGAACAGGTGAAGGAGCAGCAAGCAGCGAGTTTATCGGACACTCTGGTGGCGTCTGATGGATTCTGGTTCTTTGGGTTGGAGCTGAACGAGCAGGTTGCTGACAAACGCAGCTGCAGCCACGATAAAAAAAAAAAAAAAACTTTAAAGAGACTTTTGAGAGCAGAAATTCATCAATATTTTAAAGCATTCTGAGCTAATATGTGGAGGTTAATGTGGTGAAAAGAACTCCCAAAGAAGAGAGAAGAGAAAACACTGAATTATTCACATTTTCTTTTGCTTTTTGGGGAAGAGAGACGCTGAGATTCAAACACGGAAGCTTTGTGACGCTAACCAGATAAACGAGTTTTATGGTGACTGGAATGTAAATGGATGCACAAACCTTCAGTGCACGATTACGTTAGTCTGCAACTGAAGCGATTTTTGTGTAGGACAGATTTAATACCCAGATGGTTTGGCATGGAGTGTGTTTGCTAAAGGCCAAGTGCACACACACACGCACACACACACGTACGTGCACACACATGCAGACACAGATGGAAGGGGTGGGGGCGCCAATCTGGTGATAAAAAATTGAGCGGAAACAAAATCTAGGAGAGATTTTCAGGAAATAATGGTTAGATGAGAGAAATCTGCCCGTCCATCATCATCTCGTCACGCAAAAAACCAAAAAAACGAAACACTAAACCACAAAGACTCCGGCCTGAAGGGGTTAAAGTCGCATCATGTAAAGGACATGTTGGCCCATCCATTTGTAGAATCAGGAGTTTGGAACAGCGTGAAGTTCTCTGCAACAGATGAAGTGTTTGTGTGTACATTTGTGTTTCCATAAACACAAAACCAGTCTGGTTTGGGGTTTCGGCCCAATTAGAACATTTTCAGCTTATAAACTCCTCATACACATGATCAGAAAGAAAAGAACGATCATTTTAGACAAGATCAGTCAGAATTATTAAACTGACGGCGTAAAACATTTTGTTTGAATCAGACTTTCTGTATTTTTGAGGAGAGACTCAGTAGAATATGTTAGTGACCCCCGTGAGGTCAGAGGTCATGTTACCCTATGACAGAAAACAGCATTGGGCTCGCTCTGCTGACTTCCTGTTTGCTACAGAATTGGTTTTTTAGGATTTTATGGATTTGTGACATCGTCATCATACTTCATCTCATAAATGAAGACGAATGCATCAAATTTCTGCAACAATTTACAAATTTGTATGAAAAGTACAGAAATAGGTACAGGTGCTGGCCAGTAAATTAGAATATCATCAAAAGGTTGAAAATATTTCAGTAATTCCATTCAAAACGTGAAACTTGTACATTATATTCATGCAATGCACACAGACCAATGTATTTCCAATGTTCATTACATTTAAATTTGATATTCATAAGTGACAACTAATGAAAACTCCAAATTTGGTATCTCAAAAAATTAGAATATTCTGAAAAGGCTGAATATAGAAGACACCTGCTGCCACTCTAATCAGCTGATTTACTCAAAACACCTGCAAAGGCCTTTAAAAGGTCCCTCAGTCTTGTTTTGAAGGCACCACAATCATGGGGAAGACTTCTGACTTAACAGCTGTCCAAAAGACAATCATTGACACCTTGCACAAGGAGGGCAAGACACAAAAGGTGATTGCTAAAGAAGCTGGCTGTTCGCAGAGCTCTGTGTCCAAGCACATTAACAGACAGGCGAAGGGACGGAAAAAATGTGGTAGAAAAAAGTGTACAAGCTCTAGGGATAACCGCACCCTGCAGAGAATTGTGACGACAAACCCATTCAAAAATGTGGGGGAGATCCACAAAGAGTGGACTGCAGCTGGAGTCAGCGCTTCAAGAACCACCACGAGGAGACTCATGAAAGACATGGGATTCAGGTGTCGCATTCCGTGTGTCAAGCCACTCTTGAACAAGAAACAGCGCAAGAAGCGTCTCGCCTGGGCCAAGGACAAAAAGGACTGGACTGATGCTGAGTGGTCCAAAGTTATGTTTTCTGATGAAAGCAAGTTCTGCATTTCCTTTGGAAATCAAGGACCCAGAGTCTGGAGGAAGAGCGGAGAAGCACAGAATCCACGTTGCATGAGGTCCAGTGTAAAGTTTCCACCGTCAGTGATGGTGTGGGGTGCCATGTCATCTGCCGGTGTTGGCCCACTCTGTTTCCTGAGGTCCAGGGTCAATGCAGCCGTCTACCAGGAAGTTTTAGAGCACTTCATGCTTCCTGCTGCTGACCAACTTTATGGGGATGCAGACTTCACCTTTCAACAGGACTTGGCACCTGCACACAGTGCCAAAACCACCAGCACCTGGTTCAAGGACCATGGTATCCCTGTCCTTGATTGGCCAGCAAACTCGCCTGACCTTAACCCCATAGAAAATCTATGGGGTATTGTGAAGCGGAGGATGCAATACGCTAGACCCAACAATGCAGAGGAGCTGAAGACGACTATCAGAGCAACCTGGGCTCTCATAACACCTGAGCAGTGCCACAGACTGATCGAGTCCATGCCACGCCGCATTACTGCAGTTATTGAGGCAAAAGGAGCCCCGACTAAGTATTGAGTGCTATACATGCACATTCTTTTCATGTTCATTCTTTTCAGTTGGCCAACATTAGAGAAACAAACATTTTTTCATTGGCCTTTAGAATATTCTAATTTTCTGAGATACCAGATTTGATGTTTTCATTGGTTGTCACCTATAAATATCAAAATTAAACGTAATAAACATCGGAAATACATTGGTCTGTGTGCATTGCATGAATATAATGTACAAGTTTCACGTTTTGAATGGAATTACTGAAATATTTTCAACCTTTTGATGATATTCTAATTTACTGGCCAGCACCTGTATTTAAAAAGATAATTCCTGTGAATGACCCTCCATCCATCCGTCTGCTCTGGGCGTACCCTGAAGCTCCTCCCACCCTTACCAACAACTTTCGTCGAGGAGGAGAAGCGACTCGACTCCTCGGTCCATCGCCGAAGGCGAGTCCTGCCTCTCTGCGGGTGAAGGTCGTTCTTCATTAGTGACCTCACGCTGTTGGTTCCTACCAACCGGTTGGAACGTACTGTAACTAGATTTATAAATTCAGAACCCAACTCCAAGCAGACACCGCTAAAAAACCAGCTTGAGTTTGTATTTTGATTTGAGCCGAAAACAAAGAAATTAAACTCAGAAAGTTCCTGCAGTGATGCAGTGTTGAGGCTTTTAGTTTTTATTGTTTGTATTTTAAGTTTTAAAACATCTCTGCCAGGTCCCTGCAGCCTCTAAACACAACAAACTGAGTATTATTTTACAATTATGAAGAGAATCAACATATTCACATCCTTTGAGATTGAAGTGAAAGGGAATTAACTTTAGTTTGATTTAGCATTGAAGCGTTTAGAGTTTCCACGTCTCTGTTAATTAACCTTTTGGATCTCTGGTCTCTTCACTTTTCACCTCTCGCTGTGTTCACCAGGGCTGCTCTTGCATTTTCTCTCCTCCTTCCTGTTGGTTTGTTTGAGATTCACTCCAAACATAAAAGACCACAACATAACCCATGGACCGAACAGAAAACAGCAATAACACAGTCGGCTGATAAATCCTTTCAAGGTCCTGGTTCTGCTAAAAGGAAGGAGAAAAACGAGCCAAAAGAAGGGCAAACAGGGTGAGGAGCAACTCTAATGAAGACCAGACTACAGTAGAAAAGACTAGAGTAGAATAGAGTCCCCTCTTTCCAGTCAGTTTCCATGGAAACAGGCCCTTCGGTGGGACGGCGGTGGAAAAGCCTCAGCAGGAGAGGTTTGGAGAGCGGCGGCGTGTGAACATCTTTTGTGCAACAGACATATATGTTTCACGGACAAACAGATGCACGGCCTCGATGTGCCCAGCATCTACAAACGGCTCTGATGATAGAAGAGAGGCATGCTGGGAAGTGGAGTCAGGCAGGACCGACTCACAAAAAGCGCAGGAGAGGAAACTTCCAGAACGATTTGTGGGTTTTGGTTTTTCATCCTTGTTTCTTTCGGGGTTACATGAGTCTGGATTGAGGCATTTTTAGGCCCTCAGTAAATAAACTCACAAGTTTCCTTTGTTTGGACGGCCTGTTCTGCAGAATCACGTCTTTCAGTAAAACCAAAAATACTCACTTTCTCAGCCCTGTTAAGGTTTGATGGATTAAAGCTTTTCCAGGTTGCTTTAATGCATTAATACAACAGACAGACCCCAACCTGATATGTTGTACCTTCTCGTACTGATCTTTGGAGGCCAAAGCTTCCTGGAGCTGCTGCTGTGTGTAGGTGTAGATAGCAGAGCGGTACGTCGTCCCGACATCGTTCCCCTGACGCATTCCTAAAGGAACACACACACGTGAATGCAAAGAAACGACTAAAGTGAAGGATTTCAGCCGACGTGGGGCGCCTTTGTCTTTGCTTCTCCGCAAATGGAACATCGGATTATGTGAAATCAACGTTTGACAACATTTCCAAAATATGACCTGTCTATCACTGCAGAGCTGAAAGCATCTTTGTGCTCTTTTAGACTGATTTGATCATTTTTCTGTAGGCGTCTCGAGCTTTCGAAGGTTAATGTGTGCTGGAAGCTAAATGCTGCTGACTGAATATAGTTCAAATATTAGTCAAGTTTAACATTAAAGGTGTGGTTCACTCTTTTAATCAACATATTTGCTGTGGTCTTCTAGCAGGAACGAAGGCCCCGTAAGTCGTACTCTGGGGCTAAAACACTCCGGTGCACCCGGTTCAATGGAATTAGAAGACTGCAAGGAGAGATTCAGACGAGATGTCCAAATATCAGGAAAGACTAGTCCACTGCCACTCTCTGCAGCTGCAGACATGCTGATCGATGCGGATCCAAGCCTCTCTGGGCTGTTTTTGCCCCGAGTAAGGCTGGCAAGGCATTCAATCCTATCAGAGACCACTGCAAATGTATCTGTTAAAGGAGTGAACCACACCTTGCTCATCAGGTTTGGTAGGTGGATGGTATCATAAAAATCTTCATAATATCTGACGAGCTTCATAAACTCTGAATTTCTTTCCACAACATGATTACAGCAATTAAACTGACTCACAGACATTAGAGAAAATGAAGGCTGGATGTAAATTAAACTGATGAAAACTAATGATCTAAAAATGCAAGTTAAAAGTTCTCCATGAGTTTGGGTTCTACCTTGAGTCGGGTCGTGGCTTTCCCAGAAGACTCTGAGAAGACTGGAGAAACTGATCCGATCTGGATGGAAAACAACCCGAACCACCTCGGTGTGTCCCGTCCTGCCTGATAACAATGTATGAAAGACACAAAGAGGCACAAGCTCAACTCATCTCATCACACATTTCAGTCTCTGAATAACTTTAGAATTAGATTTATTCAGGATTTTGAAATCAGAAGAGGTGTGAAAATCCTTAAAACCAGAACTCAAGAATAAACGGTGAAACCCATCATGGATGGAACATCAGATAGATGACTAGCTTTGTCTTTTCTCATATGTTCAGCTCTAATTCTTCTCGTTCGCTCCACCAGGATCCACTCATCTGCTGCCAGAGTCAGACTGAGGTTTGAAGAGGACGGGAAAAGCAGAAGAGGTGGACTGGCAGTGCTTGCGAACAGCAGCTGGAGTAGTCCAGGACATCGTCTTCGAAGCAACATCGCGCTTGTTCGTCTGTTAGCAGAACATGTCACGGTGTAAATCTACAACCGATAAACTTTGAAGTCAACCCCCTTCAAGATAGCCGTCGTAGCCAATCAGTATTGTCAAATGTTTGGTTTTCAGCCAAGACGAGTAGACAGAGACATGGAGAGGACTGAAAAAGCAATGAGGTGCTTTGACAGTGCTTGAGAATAGTGATGTAGTCCATGACATCACTCTGCAACCCACTGCTAGCTTATGCCTTCTGCTTCAGTCTTCAGACTGAGGCTTCTTCAGATCCACAGACTGCTACAGAAGATCCGTCCAGCTCACAGCCACAAGTCACCACCGTTCATTTCTAAATGAGATCCCAAACTTCGTCTCTGCAGTGACGCGGACACTAAACTGATCTGTAGTGATACAGAAGGAGCTATGCCAGACAGCAAAGCACTCAACTAGCAGGAAGTTCTTCATTCTAATCCTCACTGATGAAGGTTGGGTAACGACAGAAAGAACAATTTTCAAATGCAAGCGGTCAAAATTCATTTCCTGGTTCAGGTGGCTGAGCTGAGCCTTACCCCTGCTGCACACTGGAAGCATCAGTGGCGCAGAACGTCACTGCTTCAAATTTAAATCCAGTATCATTTATGGAGGCGATTCAAACCATGGCGATGCAAATAAATAAATAAACAAACGCTTAGTAATTTTCAAAATATAAGTCTATTGCAGCATTGCCATTTCATGTCTACAGTGCTCATAAATGAGTACACCGCCTTTAAAAGTACATGCTTTGAAATTCTGTTAGTTTTAAATGTTTTCTGTGGTTCATTGCACCAGTTTTTACTGCCTTAGTTATCATCGTCCAACACTAAATAATTCCCGGTTAGCCTTTTTATCCATTCAGAGTATTGAGTTTCTGTTAGTTTTCTACTTTTAGTCATCTATGTTTTCTGTAGTTTCACTGCTTTAGTTGTGGTCTGCCTCGATACTCTAAGTGTTAGTAATTGAAAGCATTGAAAATCTGTTCTGTGGTTCATTGCACCAGTTTTTACTGCCTTAGTTTTAGCCACCTCGCACCTTCTTTGTTTTCACTTAATTCCCGGCTGACTACATTTAGTTCTCTTCTCAGTGTTTTATTGATATTGAGTTAGTCTTCTAGTTTAGTATGTAAAGCACACCGAGTTTCCTTTGTGTAGGAAATGTGCTCGATAAATAAAGCGGTCTTGTCTAAAAAGTACAAATGTAATCAGCAGCTTGATGGACAAGGCTGGGTTTACCTCCATAACAGGACATTAATGCTAATAATATAAGTTAGGTCACAAAATCTTCTGTTTTACTAAAATTTGTTGAAGCAAAAATGAATACACCTCACAACAAAAGGGGGTTCTGGGCATGGAATGAACAAGTTGGCGACATGTTGCAACGATAAGCCGAACTATGTGGATTCTTACACCCCTGCAGCCTGAAGGTGAGACCCACTATCTTCTCCCTGGGAAAGAGTACGTAGTAGGACGCAAAAATTGTTCCATCCTTCTTCCCAATCATCAGTCCATCAGCAGAGCTCATGCTCACCTGACTGCTACAGACCACACCCTGAGTCTGAGAGACGCCTCCAAATACGGCACGTTTGTCAACAAAAAGCGTCTCACGGCTCCAGTTAACCTGACGTCGGGGGACAACGTCACATTTGGGGTTTTTCACTGCAAATTCACTGTCTCATCACCAGATGGTGGTGTGTTCGTCGTGTTTGGAAAGTGCCGGGAAGACGACGCTCTCTCAGGCTCTGGCTGCTTTTGGGGGGGGGCTGGTGAACACCTGGAGTCAGGAGTGCACTCACCTGACCATGCCGATACAGAGAAGGTCACAGTGAAGACCATTTCAGCGATGCTGTGTTGTCGCCCCATCGAGAAGCCGGAGTTCTTCTCAGAGCTCAGCAACGCCGTTCGGCGGACACTACCCCTTCCTAAAGCAGAGAGTTTCATCCCTGAAATCGATGAGTCCAGCTTGACCAACGAGGAGGTTAACCTCAGCGTGATCCCAGGTCGCCTGCAGCTATATATCAGGAAAACCTTCATCTTCTTCTTTTTCCGTTCTTCAAGAAGAACCTCTTTTAGAGCCTGTATGCTGGATGGAGAGTGATGCTCAACCAGGCTTCAGAATTCCCCACAGGTGTTGGACTGGGTTCAGATCAGGAGACAGACTTGGCCATCCAACCACCTTCGCCCTGTTCTTCTTCAGAAATGCAACAGCAGCTTTAGATGTGTGTTTTGGATTGTTGTCGTGTTGGAAACGTGCACAACGACCAAGTTCACGGAGTGATGGCAGCATCTACTCCTTCATAGAGCAGTATATTGTTGAGTTCATCCATAAAATGCGGCTCCCCAACACCAGCAGCACTCATGCAGCCCCACATAAGAACACTGCCACCACCATGCTTCACTGTAGGCACCATGCATTTCTCTTTGAAATCCTCACCTTTACCATGCCAGTGGTAGTTTTGAAACCATTAGTTTAAAAAACAGTGATCAGAGTATAGAGTCCCAGTGGTCTTCATCTCTTTCAGCGTGGGCCCTAGCAAATCCCAGGTGATGTTGTTTTTGTGCGTGGGCTTTAGGAGAGGCTTCTTTCGTGGACCATACCCATGCATGCCATTCCTCTGCAGTGTGCGCCGTATGATGTCACAGGAAACGATCACTCCAGTCTGGCTTTAGCCAACTGTGGTGAACTTGCATGGTGATTTTCTTTAACCCGTCTCATCAGAAGAAGCTCCTGTCCAGACGTTAACTTCTGTGGACGTCTCGGTAAGATGGTTGCTCTTCCATCTCTCTTAAATGTTTGGATGACTTTTGCTACAGTATTGTGACTGATTTGTAAAGCTCTGCTGATCTTGTAGCCCCTCACCTTTTCTGTGTGAAGGAATGATTTCCTTCCCGATTTCCTCCGTCTCTCTAACACTGTAGAGGTCTTTAAAAATCATCTAAAAACTCACTTTTTCATCCAGGCGTTCCCTCCCTAAATGTTTAAAAAAGATGGCTTTGTTCGGGTTCACACCTTCACTTTGTTTATACTCATGATTTTATTTTCTACGTGCTATACAAATAAACTTTTACTTACTTACTTACTTTCTCAGATTTTATGACATTTCTCTTCCACGTGGAGCCGTTGATGACAGCATGACATGAGAGGGGCTTTTCTTTGTTAAGTAATGCCCTTTTATAGTCACCTGTCTGCTGGACACCTCTTAAACGCACCATTAGACTTGCCAGTAGTTGAATGCCTGTCCATTTGAATGTGGTTATTTTAAGTGTGGCTTTTCTCCAAAGACTAGACTTGTTTTGCAACATGGGCTTGAATGGATTTGTTAGGAAAATCACTTTTTAGTGTGAAAATTAACAAATCTTCTTTGCAACCCATGGCCCACATTTGTGGGAGTATTTTGTTGTTTGAAATGTTACGTCTGAAGGGAAACTAAAGGTTTTCTGACAAATGTAGCGGGGTATACTGCTGAGCACTGTGTAGATCACATAATAACAAGTGACCTAACAGCTTACTCCCAGCACCGTTCCAGAAGTGCAGCGGTGTGTTTTCGTGGTTTTAATCCT